GCCCGTCCATACGACTATTTTTGGCAATTACCAATTCTTCGGGAAAAAGTTATTTCGCCCCAAAAATAGGGATCATTGGCCAAGCGCTGAGGGCATTATAAGAACCCTCTCAGTTGAGAGGGTCAGGTATCTAATTCCTCACCTTGAAACACACATATTATGTACTTGCTCGCTCTCTTGATCGTTTTCTTACTTTAGTATAAGAGTGCCTTGCAGATACACCCCCTCATCCTCTTTCACACCCAGCATCACCGACGTTTGTCATTGACTCATCTCAGATTCTGATCGTTCTTTATATATATATATACACACACGCACACACACACACACACTAGCATCCAAACGGGCATTCCCGTTCCCATTTGTCCGCTTTTTTATTGTGTATACACGTTAATTTATAAACATATTTTTTATTTGATTTTGGTTTTAATTTAAATTACTTATCATATATATTTTTGTTTATTAATTTAATTTTTTATTAAATATATGGTCAATGAAATGCTTCCAAAGATTGTTGCAATAAAACTCTTTCATTTATTGAAGCAACACTTTATGAAATGTTTTAACATTTGATTCTCATTTTCCTGCATAATCTTGGATGTGCCTGTAATCTTTAATATTTATTGTTGGTTTTCTCTTATATTAGTAGTAGTGTATTGAATACAAATGAACCAATTCAAAAATAAACAATTCTTATATTTCTTATCTTTAAGGAAACGGTTTAAAAAGGAAGACACTTAAAAATAATGTTTCATTGTGTTTAATAATATTCTCTAACCAAATAAATATAATTTGATATTTAGTTGCAACAACCAAATACAAAGTCAACAAAATAGATTCTAAAATAAACACAATAAAATATCTTAAAGAAATAATCATAACATTGTAAAGAAAAAGAAACTTCATATCAATTAACAATGAAGTATGATAAAGAATTAGAGAGAAAATTAGAGACTGATGACCAAATAAGAAATGAAGATGAATAATTTTTTTCTCTATTTATCTTTGACAAACCATAAATAATGGAGTATGATGAAGTATTTTTTTTTCATGTTACCACTGAATGAGTAAAGTTTCATTTTCTATTCATTTATAAGTCTGTTTTGCACTTCCATCATTTTTTATAAGAGATGCATAATTATCAAAATTGTTTTTTTTTTCATTAAAAAAAATCAACTTTGATAGTTATGCACATCTTATAAAAAACAGTATTATTATGTTAACACTTTATTTTTAAAAATTAAATAAACTGTGCACAACTTAAAGGATAAAATGAAAATGAAATATGTATGTTTAAAATTATTTATCTTCTTTATCTTTATCTATAGTTATAGAATAGATTATAGTTAGAGAATATATTAAGTAGAGTTTAGAGAAACCATAATAAATATTATAAAAAGAAAGAAATTTTTTTATGAGAATAAAAGAAAATCATAAATAAAAGTTAGGGAGAGAAGTACAAATAAAACTCACAAATAAATTAATCTCACATAAAGCGAATTAAACAAAAATTTGAGAGATTAAAAGAATGCTTCATGTTCTTTGTTAGACAAAAAAAACATATAAATGAATTTTCAAAAACTAAGTAAAATAGACAACGTTATAAAGAGCAAAAATATAATAAACAAAATTTAAAAAATGTGAATAAATTAGAATATCTGTACAATTCCATGGAAGTATCTTTTGTGCACTCATTTCAATAGTCGCATAGGAAATATATATTTGTGTAAAAAAGATCATTTGAAATCTCTTCAAGTTTTGCCGCATATATGTAGCATTCTGCCTCTTTTGAAGTTAATAATTTCTTCAATTTGTTTAAAAAACATAACATGAATATTAAAAAAATAAAAATAAAAATGGGAGAGATGAATTTTTTCTTTGGTTTTAAACGAAGAATTTAAGAGAGGAAAGAAGAGAGATAATCAATCAATATTGTAAAACCAAATACATAATATGTTTTTCAGTATTACTATCTTCTTTAGTGGAGTGTTCGTAAGTATTAATAAATTTATTAGAATTGTGATTTAATAAATAGGATTTAAATAATAATTAACAACTTTAATAATAATTTTACATAGAGTTGGTTCAAAAATACAGAAAACTACAAAGTAATATAATTAAAATGAATAACTTTTAATAACTAATCAAACCTATAGAAATAATTATAAGTGGATGGTTTATACCTGTTACGTTTTGAAAGATTATGCCTATGTATTCTTTCCATTGTCTTGCACATTCTTCTATCTTGTTTGATTTATCCATTAAAAACTAAAAAGAAAATTAAGAACCATTGTTAAATATATAAAAATAGTGATGTAGAAAGTATTTAGAAGAAAATTAAATTTATTAGGCATTCTTAAATATTTAAGAATCTTTAAATTTTGAAGAAGAAAAATTGAAAAAATGAAAAAATTGAAGATAAAGATGCAGGTAGTATGTGAAAAAGAAAGGAAGCGGTAGAATGCTTAAAACAAAAACAATGATAGGTGAATAAAAAAAACTGTATTATGCAATTATATCTTTTTTAGCCTATCCTTTCTCTTCCTTCTAACTTCTAGGTGGTTTATATGTGGAAGTTATTTATTGATGACATAACTTACAAAAATAAATGAAGAGAAATTATGGAATATAAAATAGGTCAGACAAAAAATTTGTATTCCTTTTGTATATAGTTTTAGATAACTTGACAAAATTAAATGAAGAGAAATGATAGAATATAAAATAGGTCAGACCAAAATTGTTTATTCCCCTTATATATAGTTATAGATATATATGAAGCATATTTAGTGAGAATGAGTAAGTTAAATGAGAATGTTAGAATAAATAAGAACCATCAGATTTAAAATGAAAGGTTGAGATTAAAAGATATTTTTAAAATTTGATTAATGATTTCTCTTTCCTTTTAATGACAAATGATTTAGTGAAAACCACAGTTTAATCTCAACCTTTTCTTTTTAAATCTGATGATTCTTATTCATTCTCACATTCTCATATAATTTACTCATTCTCACTAGAGAGAGAGTAGAAGAAGATGGTTTGTACGTGGTGTTGAAGTAGAAGAAGATGGTGTGTGTTGATAAGATTCGGTGGTTGTTGGAGGGAGAAATATGTGAAAATGACATTTCGATTGTGCAAGCAGAGGTTATGGTTTTTGCATCAATGAGCAGTGAAGTTTTGGATCGGAGGTGATTTGAGGTTTAAATGTATCTAAGCGTGGTTCTCACAGTGGAGGTGGCTGGAGGTAAAACCGCGTTGGTTTACAAGCGAGCACGTTGGAGATGTTAATCAGTTGTGCTTATTAGTTATAGCTCTGGCGAGGGAAAAAAAAGAAAGATAGAAATCGAGTTAGTTGAGGTGGGGGATGCGTTGTTGAGCACTTGGTAGGAAATAGATAGAAGAAGGATTTAGCTTTGATGAGAGAGGGTAGAGTAACACATGAAAAAGAGGGAAGAGAGCAAGCTCCTCTCTTACAACAATATTAAAATAAATAAATTCCACATCATATATAAATAGTCCAACATGACATCTTTTAACGTTTTTCCAATAGAAACTAACAAAAAAGATCAAATAATTTAATAGAAGTGAAGTTAAGGGACCACTATGTAACGTTTTTTAGTTAAAGAATCAAAGTGAAACTTCTTATAAAGTTAAGGGACTAAATGATACATTAAGCCAAAATTATACTGTGCAGTGCATAATTATTAATTTTATAGCAATAGTTTTGTCTCAAATGATAATAATAAGACGATTTCGATTTATCCTTTATAATAATAAGACGATATATATATATATATATATATATATATATATATATATATATATATATATATATATATATATATATATATATATATAGTTTTACCCCCTAAGCATGCAATTTGAACACTGAATCTGAGATTTAAAAAAATATTGCAGGAATAACTTTGATATTTAGGAGGCAAAAAACATAGAATTTTAATATTTTAAGGAGATTCAATTTTTTTTACCGAAAGTATACCGAAACTCATCTATATTATATAGTGTTGTATATTTAACCCTAATAATAATTTTAAAAAAAACAATAAGCTAAATTTATAATTTTGATTCCCAAATTAATTTGTATTTTAAATTAAAATATCATTCACGTTTTTCATTAAAAAAAACTTCTTCAAACACTCCTTATACAAATTTTTTGAATGTAATATATATGATTGAACAAATGTGTTTATAAATTATATTGTTATATTAAAATTTAAAAACATAACCCATAAACATATGGTTTCATCTCATATTTTTATACTTATTAACTGCTTTAAGTCATCTCATATTATGAAAAATATTATTACCGATATTGATATTTACAAAGAGACATTAGGTTAGTAAATTAAACTACTTTTAATTAACATTAAAAGAAACTATGCATACTGGTTGTCGACTTGTCGAGTATAGTTTTCTTAATCGCCAAGTAAAACGAGGCTCCATCGTGCAACTCCACTGCCACGTGAGGCACTCTCATTCGCACAACAACATGTCCTTTTTTCCCTCTTACACACTTCTTCTGACCAACCGTCCCAAACTTTTCATTTCCATATTTACCCTCACTCTTTCCTTCCCCTCAACGCTTTCCATAACAAGGACACATAGTGGCATTTCAGTAGTTTCATGTTAAAGCAAGGGTGAAAAATCGTACACGGGATATACGATGGATTTAAACGCGGTTTCTCTCCTACGTAACGTAACACTACACAAACAACATCAACAACACTATCTTACACTGAAACTAACTTTTTCTTTGTTCTTCCTTATTATTATTATTATTATCATCATTCCATAAATCATAATCACAAATATTAAAGAGATAAAAAAAAGAAGCTATGGAACATCACATCCACATCCTTAAATCCTTTGAATTATTCCAATGATTCTTAGTTTCTGAATCGCTTTCATTTCTTTATAATACTTCATCAAGGATCCATTCAAACCTTCTCTCTTTTTTTTAATTATAACTTTACTTTTATGTTATGGGTTCTCTTGACTGTGTTCCATCGCTTGAAGATGGTGCGGCGGTGTTGTCTCTGAATTCGCTACCGTTAGGGTTCCGATTCCGACCTACCGACGAGGAACTTATCGATTACTATCTACGTTCCAAGATCAATGGAAATGGTGATGAGGTTTGGGTTATACGAGAAATTGATGTCTGCAAATGGGAACCCTGGGATATGCCTGGTATTTTTCTTTTCTTTTTTGCACTTATAATTTCTCTTGATTTGGTAAAGTTGAATTATGTTATAGTTCTAAATTCTTTTTAGCTTATTTTCATAAGCTCTTATTTAGGCTTTATAAAAACAACTTATAGTTTACATGTGAATAATTTGACTTTATTTTATAGGAATAGCTTATACATGAGCACTTACATGATAAACACTTATGCTATTAGCTTTTAATTGAACTATTTATCCAAAAAAAGGCTTTAGACTGTTTTTGTTGTTTAAGGATTTGATGATTTGAGTAACAAATAGATGTGTTGAATTGTTTTTCTTTTGGCTGATTTTTTTATATATCTGTGTTGGGTTTGTTGTAGATTTGTCAGTGGTACGAAACAAGGATCCGGAGTGGTTCTTCTTCTGTCCACAGGATCGAAAGTATCCAAACGGACATCGTTTGAACAGAGCAACCAATCATGGATACTGGAAGGCAACAGGCAAGGATCGGAAAATCAAGTCTGGAACCCTCTTGATTGGAATGAAGAAGACTTTAGTTTTCTACAGCGGCCGTGCACCTAAAGGAAAGAGGACTAATTGGGTTATGCATGAGTATCGTCCCACCTTGCAGGAGCTTGACGGTACCAACCCAGGACAGGTTTGTTCTATTCTCTTATTTTTAGAACTAGCTAAGGAATTACTATATGAATATGATAACAATTACTAATTGATTTTTTGAACTTGTATCAGAGTCCATATGTTCTCTGTCGATTGTTTAAGAAAAACGATGAGAGCATTGAAGCATCAAACTGTGGTGAAGTGGAGCAGACGAATTCAGCTCCCATGGCTGCCAATTACTCTCCGGAAGAAATACAATCTAATCCAGCTCCTATTACAGCACCCACATCACAGGTCACGGAGGAGGATAAGCAGCTAGCTGTTATCCCCGATATCTATGAGGAAACAATATCCAACGCTATAAACTCAGTTGAGTGCCATAGTGATGGATATGATGCTCATGATGTCCAAAAACAAATTGAAAAACTAGCTGCAGAGGTTAGATTGATTAACTGAGCTATAATATAGTATCACTATTTTCATTCTCTTGATTATATACTTGATATTTCCTGCAGGAGGATCATGCGATGAACTTTGACATATATTATAACCCGAAAGATGGTCTATTATTAGACGACAGGTTATTCTCGCCAGTTTTGACACACATGCCACCTGAATTTGATTATCAGGCAAACAGTGAATCAGATGGTCAATGTGGGCTTCAATATGGTACCAATGAGATAAATATTTCAGACTTCTTAGATTCAAATCTTAATTGGGATCAAATTCCCTGTGAGGAGTCCAGTAGTTACCCCCAGAACTTCACCCCCTTATTAACTGTTAAGGACAATGGTTCAGGAAGCGACTCAGACGCAGAAGTAGCCAATATGATGACTGTAAGTAACAGCTCCAACGCTATTTACTGTTGTGTCAATCTGAGCAGGTTTTGCCATGTTAATAATCACCTGAAGTAGTTGCCTAATCTCCCGTGGCAGCTCTAAGAATTAAACTTGATTTTGTCGTGTCTCCCTTATAATGTAAATCTTATTTTTGTTATGTTACAGTGTACACAAGTTGCTTATCCTCCTGAGGTAATAGACAGAAGGATTCCTTTTGTGACAACACCATCATTTTTCCGCACCTTTGACTATAATGGTGATGATCAAAAGAGCAATGTTGTGTTATTACAAAACAATTTCCAGACAACTTTTCCATCCGATGTTAATTATGGTGAAGTGTACAACATCAATGCTTATGATCAACCAAGAAACTATAATAATACATTTATAAGTGGTGAAAGTGGAATCATAAGAAGGGCCCGACCAGCACGAGACGAACAATTAAAGCCAAATTCGAAACAAGGTGATGCCGAAAGGAGAATTCGTTTGGCAAATATGGGACATGATTCAAACAAGAGTAGTAAACAAGAACAGCATAGTTCAAAACCAATCACTACAGTGGTAAGAAACATCTTTTCATATTTTGCTTGCATGATGACTACGTGGTTGTCTCTGCATGTGTTGTGACGTTTGTTTCTATTTTGCAGGAGAAGAAAGCTGCAGAAAATCATGCTGCCGATGATGAAAATTCTACTGCAACTAATCACACGTATAAAAAGAGGAAGGCATCCAAGTCAGTTGTCCATAGAAATATTTCTGTATTGCTTGGAAGGGTGCGGGCGCCTTTCAGATCAAAGACTTCCTCCAACTGCGCCTTGTGGTCTTCCGTTTTTGTAGTTTCTGCCTCTGTACTTGTTTCATTAGTAGCCTTTACTAACATATGGGGATGTATTAAATTTTGAACTGCTTGCAGATCATTCCTTTGTAATTTGTCTCCGTTTCTTTTTTAGACCAGTTGAGGGGAGGCATGTAGGTTTTATAACTTTCTTAGATTTGTTGATAACTGATTATATATGCGCGTGTGCATATATGTACTTGGTGTATGTTATCGCCCACTGTCACTCAGTTGGCTAGTCTGTAGACTCTGTTATTGTATATTAAGCTTAAAACAGTTTCTTCATTCTAAGTTCTGTTTCAGTTTCACCTTTTAATCTCACTTTCCATTTTGATACAAGGCATAAAAGGTTTCGAAATAGCAGAGACAAGCATCCACTAAGCACTCATTCGTCCATTTAGGAAGATGCAATGTGAATCCTCTAATCATCTCTGATGCCCATTAAAACTCAACTTAGATTATTGAAAATATACCCATGGGTGTCAAAACCACCAAAATCGGGAACATTAAGATAGGTATAACCCGACCTTCCGGCGTCACGAAAAACCGTGGTTTGAATTTAGGAAAATCTTCACAACAATGTATGTATAATCCGATCTTTTTGCGACAATAAATTGTGGTTTGAATTTGGAAAAATATTCATAATGATAACATTTTCTGATTTAATGTTGTTTGGAATGTCTAAGAAACAAGATTGTCTTTGAGGGTATGCAAGATGGTTTAACACATGACTTCACATTTTTTATGATTAAGTTATGGTAAAAAAGATTTCCTGAAAATATTTCACAGTTAATTTGTTAAATAGGGTCTTTAAAAAAATTTCACAATTCAATTAAAATTAACTTTAACTTGTTAAAGTAAGACTTCTAAAAAATTTGAAACAGTTTTGAAAAATATCAAAAATATCAGGAGTTATTGAGACCGCATATTTATATAAAATCAAATCTAAAGGAGTAGACATATGTGTTTTTTTTTTTTTACATATCCAATATTTGTTTCATTTTTAGTTGATCCGAGACCTAATTACTCAACTTGAATGTAACAATGTGCTTTTTTAGAAGAACCTACCCTGTCTACTGTGGAACACTCAATTAAAGAAGACAGGGAAGGAAATGACAAACTAGGTATCTTTCTTAGACGTAGGTATCCTCCTAACAAAATCTGTTTTTCCTTTGTACATCAAAGTATCTAACCTTCTATATAGCCTTGGATATTGCTATCATATAAGAAACTAACGAAAATTACAACTAAACAAAAGGAACAAGAACATCGCACCGAATCAACATAACTAATTAATAGTAGCTCCTTAGAATCACCCATACTATTTGAGCTTGCACGTGTGGTTAAATATTTTGATCTAACTAGTTGTCATTTGTGTTAAAATTTAAAATATATTTGGCGGGTATCTTTGATATATTTCATAATGGTGAAATGTAATTCATATAACAGTTAAATCTTCATTTATCTCCAGCTCAAATTTATTGAGCTGTATATTTTCTTTGTTGTCAATTAAGGGCGAACAGTAATAAAACTTTACAACTCTTTGATTGTCTGGATAGTGCAACCGATTCTCAAGTGAGAATTTTAGATCGACAAGACAATTGATTTTTGTGAACCTAAATTCAAGAGGGGGCCTATTGTTGTTGAAGTAGCCAAAATATGAGATATGCATATTGAGACAATCTATATGTGATTTTGCTAACAAGATGAAGGACAACCATATTTATACAAGTTATAAATCAATATGGATCTTAAAAATCAAATCTTGTCCCATAGGATATTTCGGAGATGTACTTTTGGACACACCCTGTTTCGTTTAGCAAAATCAGGGTGTATATGAAAACATAGTTTCAAATCAAACCTGGTTAACATTTTCAGATTATCCTATTTTTTTTGTACGGAACCTGATACGGAAACATAACATGTTATGAAACACAAAAAGCTAGAGAATTTAGAAAAACAAAATACATATTAAAATGTATCTAGTTTACATCATTAATATCAATCCAACATTACATACAAAAACGAGTCACCACAAAAATACATTGTTCGATAAAAACTAAAATGCATTAATACACGTGTCATCACCTAAATCTGTATCTATAAGTGGTTCCACCTTCAATTTTTGCTTATTTGGTTCCCTTTCATTCTCGCTCAATTTGGTGAAATCTTTCGTCCTATCCAAAAAATTATTCGACCAAGTTTCAGCTTCCTTAGTGAAATGGGATGTCCACTCCAATGATGTTCGTGGTATAAGGCATCCTGATTACAAATAAACTTGAACAAAATATAGTGATTTTAAAAGTCATCCAATACACATAATGTGTCCGATTGGATTTTGAGGAAGACCACTTTGAAGTGGATTTTTTTCCTGAGAAGACATATCTTGTCAAATCAATACACACCCTATTATATGCACTTGCTATAAGATGAGTCATTTTCTTATGTGCCTTCAACTCTTTGATTCTTCTCTACTTTATCGAACAAAGTTGGAATAACGTGCCGTCACCCTTAACATCTACAATTCATTCAATGTATTTGTGCATAAAAACTTACGTCTTTTCAATGTGTATCATTTTTGGTAAAGGTGGTGAAGGAAATGGTTTACTAATGCGATCACCTTTGAAAACAATTTTTTGAGATTTTTAAGTTGGAGAATCCAAAAAAAGTTTGTCAGCGTGTTCGAAATATGACGGAGACTGCATCATTGAATTGTCACTTTGTGTTGGTTTGACCTTTTTAGGAGCATCCTTTGTTTTTACCGGTTGTGATGGTGGTTTCAAATTTGTGGTTTATGGATAAACATCTTCCTCTGTTACTATTTGATGTGCAATTTCATCGTCAGCTTTCAAAATCTCTTAAATCACTTCTCATTCGGTCAAGATAGATATATTTGATTTACCATACTTCATCACATCATCATCATCAAACCAGAGAATTTTCTAGTGCATGTAAACCTCATCCATTTGTATGGGTCTAACAATTTTCATCTTCTTTGAAATTAAACAATCACATGGAAGATTGTACGTCTTCCTAAGTGTACAACCACACTTTAAGCTATATGAACCTACTTTTTTTTTGCTTGTTTGACTTCGTGATAAATAAAATTCAATCCCGTATGAGATATATTATCCACTAACTGTGAATAAAGATTGTTGTTTCTAAATATATGTTTTAACACTGTAATGTTGCAACCAAATGATGTTTCCATCTCATCGTGCTGGTTTTGGGTAATTTGGTTCACATAGTCCTAATCTCTACATAAATCACTTTTACTATTTCCCAACCAATTCTTCAATGTAGCATGTGTAACACCCATTTTTAATTATTTCGTTTTTCCGTATTATTTGTTTTTCGGTGCATTGTGTGTGGAAATTGTTTGAGGAATTGAGTTCCATAATATTAGAAAAATATGATTAATAATAATAATATGATAATTCATAGTGTTGATACTATTATTATTAATATTATTGTTATTATTGTCATATTTAAAAATATTATTGGAAGAGTTTGGAAATTAAAGAAATTGTGGAAATAATATTTATTTGGGATATTAATATTAAATTTGATTTTTGGAATGAAGGGAAATGAGAATATTATTATTGGGATTAAGAATAAATAAAATTGGATTATTTGGGATTAAAATGAGGATTTATTACTAATGGAATTATTGGGATTAAAAGGTGATTTAGGAGTATTGAGGGCAGAGTTGGCATTTGGGAGAATTTGGAAAGGGGAAGAACGCGTGAAATGAACGAACACACGGTGGGAGAAAGAGCAAGCACAATCAAGAGAGCAAAGGCTGAAGCAAAAAGATCATCAAGTTGTGGGTTTCTGAAGCTTCATCAACATCAGAATTGAATTCGAGGTAAGGGGAGATATATCGGTTAAATAGTATACATGAATATTGGTAGAAGGGGAATCCCTAACCCCATGTATGAGTATATTTGCATGTTGATGATAATCTGATGTTGATTGTATGTCATTGTTGTTGTGATTGTGGTGATTGAATGTGTTAATTCGTTTGCATGTGACTGTGAGAAATTGTTTGAGTGCATTTGGGGTTTCCGGGAAAATTCGAAGTTGAGCCGGAAGTGGGTTATTTGAGCAGAGTTGATAATTTGTCGGGTAGAATTGGGAATAGACCTTGTAATTAAGTCGTAGTATGTTGTTTGGTTGCGAGTGGATGTTAGACTCGATTTAATCGGGCGGAATCGGTGATGGATGTTGTTTCTGCTGTGCAGAATTTTGCTATTACTGCAGGTGTTCGCCAGCCTTCGCTGGGCGAATGAGGGGGCGAGCCTTCGCCAGGCGAACTGGCCAGCGAGTGCTGGCAGAAGCTACTGTCTGGCTTCGCCAGAAGTTTCGCCAGGCGAGTTCCAGCGGGTGTTTGCTGCGGGGCTTCGCCAGGCGAATGGCCAGCGAGTGTTCGCTGCGGGGCTTCGCTAGGCAAATGTGCCAGCGAGCCTGACAACAGCTTGTGTTTCTACTACTGTTATGTTGGCTTCCTTTGTGGTTTTGGACCCTTGTTGGTCATGTTTGACGATGAGCGTGATCGCGAGCCATGGTGAGTGTATGTGTGGTGCAGGATGTGAATTCCTGGATATTCACTTAATTGGAGGGATTGCGTCAGTGTATGTTATGATACATGTATGTGGTGATATAAGGGTGCTGAGTGCGATCAGATTAATGTGCTGTGATGATAGCTGGGTGTTGAGAGTATGTTCAGGTGTGGGAGGGCCGTGTGGCTGGCGTTTATTGCATTGGACATAATCGGTGGATTATGTGTTAAGTTTAGATAAGTATGGGTGTGTATGGATGTGGATCCGTAGGATCGATACGCTTGTTGTGCGTTGTGTTTGTATGTTGTGTGAGGGATGTGGATCAGTGGGATCGACACGCCTTGAGTGTGTTGTGGTGATATGTTGTGATGAGAGGATCTGTAGGATCGATACGCTTTATATGTGTCGTGTTTATGTGTTGTTGTGATGATTGGGTCAGTAGGACCGGTATGCCTTATGTCTATGATGTGTGATATGTTGTATGGTGAGTTGATCGGTAGGATCG